AGATGCATATCTGTATTCCAAGTCATGTGAAATCCATATATTTTTGTTCAGTGTGTGTGTGTGTGTGTATTTTTTTTCAGTGCAATATTCACACCCCTCGACTTTCTCCACATTTTGTTACGTTACAGCCTTATTCTAAAATCTATTTTTTTTTTATCCTCATCAATCGACACACAATATCTCATAATGACAAAGCAAAAACAGATTATTTGAAATTTTTGCAAATGTATAACAAAATAAAGCAATGTAATACATTTACATAAGTATTCAGACCCTTTACTCAGGACTTTGTTGAAGCACCTTTGGCAGCGATTACAGTCTTCTTGGGTATGACGCTACAAGCTTGGCACACCTGTATTTGAAGAGTTTCTCCCATTCTTCTCTGCAGATCCTCTCAAGCTCTGTCAGGTTGGATGGGGACGTCGCTGCACAGCTATTTTCAGGTCTCTCCAGAGATGTTTGATCGGGTTCAAGTCCGGGCTCTGGCTGGGCCACCCAAGGACATTCAGAGACTTGTCCCGAAGCCACTCCTGCGTTGTCTTGGCTGTGTGCTTAGGGTCGTTGTCCTGTTGGAAGGTGAACCTTCGCCCCAGTCTGAGGTCCTGAGCGCTCTGGAGCAGGTTTTCATCAAGGATCTTTCTGTACTTTGCTCCGTTCATCTTTCCTTCGATCCTGACTAGTCTCCCAGTCCCTGCCGCTGAAAAACATCCCCACAGTATGATGGTGGTGGCAGCATGCTTCACCGTAGGGATTGTGGCAGGTTTCCTCCAGACGTGACGCTTGGCATTCAGGCCAAAGAGTTCAATCTTGGTTTCATCAGACCAGAGAATCTTGTTTCTCATGGTCAGAGTTTTTAGGTGCCTTTTGGCAAACTCCAAGTGGGCTGTCATGTGCCTTTTACTGAGGAGTGGCTTCCATCTGGCGACTCTACCATAAAGGCCTGATTGGTGGAGTGCTGCAGAGATGGTTGTCCTTCTGGAAGGTTCTCCCATCTCCACAGAGGAACTCTGAAGCTCTGTCAGAGTGACCATCGGGTTCTTGGTCACCTCCCTGATCAAGGCCCTTCGCCCCCGATTGCTCAGTTTGGCCGGGCAGTCAGCTCTAGGAAGAGTCTTGGTGGTTCCAAACTTCTTCCATTTAAGAATGATGGAGGCCACTGTGTTCTTGGGGACCTTCAATGCTGCAGACATTTTTTGGTACCCTTCCCCAGATCTGTGCCTCGACACAATCCTGTCTCGGACCAGACATGCAGTCAACTGTGAGACCTTATATAGACAGGTGTGTGCGCGCCTTTCCAAATTATGTACAATCAATTGAATTTACCACAGGTGGACTCCAATTAAGTTGTAGAAATATCTCCAGGATAATCAATGGAAACAGGATGCACCGGAGATCAATGTCAAGTCTCATAGCAAAGGGTCTGAATACGTATGTAAATAAGGTATTTCTAAAAACCTGTTTTAGCTTTGTCATTATGGGGTATTGTGTGGGGATTGATGAGGGAAAACATTAATTTAATCAATTTTAGAATAAGGCTGTAACGTAACAAAATGTGGAAAAGGTCAAGGGGTCTGAATAATTTCCGAATGCACTGTATAAATATATTTTCTTAAATCAGCATCTCTACATGTATGACAGCCATTCCATTCCAGTGTCTGTTGAATTCCAACACAGGCACACCTCATTCTACTGAATTAGGTACTGATTAGGTGATCACATGAACCAAATCTTATTTAACGAGGAAAAGTATAAAAAACCAGTGCTGTGGTCATCACTATCATCTTGCAATAGGACCAGCTGGATGGCAAAAACAGTGCTAATACTACCTCAAAAGTAATATTAATCAAAAAATAACTATTGACCATGCCAAAAGAGTTGAAAAGGAAAGTTTTGAGTGAGGAAAATAAAGGTTCAATTCTGGCTTTACTGGCAGAGGGATACAGTGAGCGTCAAGTTGCTTCCATCCTTAAAATGTAAAAGACGGCGGTTCATAAGAACAAGGTCAAGCAGCAGACATTGGGGACAACAAAGCTACAGACCGGCACAGGGCGAAAACAACTCTCTACTGACCGGGATGACCGCCAACTCATTCGAATGTCACTCAACAACCGTAGGATGACATCAAGTGACCTACAAAAAGAATGGCAAACGGCAGCTGAAGTGCACGGCGAGGACGGTTCGAAACAGGCTCCTAGGGGCAGGGCTGAAGTCGTGCAAAGCTAGAAAAAAGCCCTTCATCAATGAGAAGCAAAGAAGAGCCAGGCTGAGGTTTTCAAAAGACCATAAGGATTGGACCGTAGAGGACTGGAGTAAGGTCATCTTCTCTGATGATTCCAATTTTCAGCTTTGCCCAACACCTGGTCGTCTAATGGTTAGACGGAGACCTGGAGAGGCCTACAAGCCACAGTGTCTCGCACCCACTGTGAAATTTGGTGGAGGATCGGTGATGATCTGGGGGTGCTTCAGCAAGGCTGGAATCGGGCAGATTTGTCTTTGTGAAGGACGCATGAATCAAGCCACGTACAAGGTTGTCCTGGAAGAAAACGTGCTTCCTTTTGCTCTTGTCATTGTTCCCCAACTCTGAGGATTGGTTTTTCCAGCAGGACAATGTGCCATGCCAGACAGCCAGGTCAATCAAGGTGTGGATGGAGGACCACCAGATCAAGACCCTGTCATGGCCAGCCCAATCTCCAGACCTGAACCCCATTAAACTTCTGGAATGTGATCAAGAGGAAGATGGATGGTCACAAGCCATCAAACAAAGCCGAGCTGCTTGAATTTCTGCGCCAGGAGTGGCATAAAATCACCCAACATCAATGTGAAAGACTGGTGGAGAGCATGCCAAGATGCATGAAAGCTGTGATTGAAAATCAGGGTTATTCCACCAAATATTGATTTCTGAACTCTTCCTAAGTTAAAACATTACTATTGTGTTGTTTAAAAATGAACATGAACTTATTTTCTTTGCATTATTCGAGGTGGTCTGACAACACTGCATCTTTTTTATTTTGACCAGTTGTCATTTTCTGCAAATAAATGCTCTAAATGACAATATTTTTATTTGGAATTTGGGAGAAATGTTGTCAGTAGTTTATAGAATAAAACAAAAAGGATATTTTTACCCAAACACATACCTATAAATAGTAAAAAACCAGAGAAACTGATAATTTTGCAGTGGCTTCCAGAGCTGTATAATTTACATACAGTACCAGTCAAAAGTTTGGACACACCTACTCATTCAAGGCTTTTCTTTATTTGTACTATTTTATACATTGCAGAATAATAGTGAAGACATCACAACTATGAAATAACACATATGGAATCATGTAGTAACCAAAAAAGTGTAAATATGTTTAATATTTGAGATTCTTCAAATAGCCACCCTTTGCCTTGATGACAGCTTTGCAAACTCTTTGCATTCTGTCAACCAGCTTCACCTGGAATGCTTTTCCAACAGTCTTGAAGGAGTTTCCACATATGCTGAGCACTTGTTGACTGCTTTTCCTTCACTCTGCCGTCCGACTCATCCCAAACCATCTCAATTGGGTTGAGGTCGGGGGATTGTGGAGGCCAGGTCATCTGATGCAGTACTCCATCACTCTCCTTTTTGGTAAAATAGCCCTTACACAGCCTGGAGGTGTGTTGGGTCATTGTCCTGTTGAAAAACAAATGATAGTCCCACTAAGCCCAAACCAGACGGGATTGCGTATCGTTGGAGAATGCTGTGGTAGCCATGCTGGTTAAGTGTGCCTTGAATTCTAAATAAAATCACAGACAGTGTCACCAGCAAAGCACCCCCACACCATAACACCTCCTCCTCCATGCTTTACGGTGGGAACTACACATGCGGAGATCATCCGTTGACTCACAAAGACATGGCGGTTGGAACCAAAAATCTCAAATTTGGACTCCAGACCAAAGGACACATTTCCACCGGTCTAATGTCCATTGCTCGTGTTTCTTGGCCTAAGCAGGTCTCTTCTTATTATTGGTGTCCTTTAGTAGTGGTTTCTTTGCAGCACTTCGACCATGAAGGCCTGATTCACACAGTCCCCTCTGAACAGTTGATGTTGAGATGTGTCTGTGACTTGAACTCTGTGAAGCATTTATTTGGGCTGCAATTTCTGAGGCTGGTAACTCTAATGAACTTATCCTCTGCAGCAGAGGTAAATCTGGGTCTTTCATTCCTGTGGTGGTTCTCATGAGAGCCGGTTTCGTCATAGCGCTTGATGGTTTTTGCGACTGCACTTGAAGAAACGTTCAAAGTTCTTGAAATGTTCCGTATTGACTGACCTTCATGTCTTAAAGTAATGATGGACTGTCGTTTCTCTTTGCTTATTTGAGCTGTTCTTGCCATAATATGGACTTGGTCTTTTACCAAATAGGGCTATCTTCTGTATACCCCCCCCCCCCCCCCCACACCCCCCACCCCCCCACCTTGTCACAACACAACTGATTGGCTCAAATGCATTAAGCAGGAAAGAAATTCCACAAATTAACTTTTAAGAAGGCACACCTGTTAATTGAAATGCATTCCAGGTGACTACCTCATGAAGTTGTTTGAGAGACTGCCAAGAGTTTTCAAAGCTGTCATCAAGGCAAAGGGTGGCTATTTGAAGAATCTCAAATATAAAATATATTTTGATTTGTTTAACACATTTTTGGTTACTACATGATACCATATCCATTATTTCATAGTTTTGATTTCTTCACTATTATTCTACAATGTAGAAAATCGTAAAAATAAAGAAAAACCCTTGAATGAATAGGTGTGTCCAAACTTTTTTCGATCCGTGGGCAGCCAGTTGCCCATCCCTGATTTACATAATAGGAAATAGCGGGCACAGAGAACGCTTCACACAGTTCTTCACAGTTCTCTACAGTTGGAAAACTGAGGAAGTTTCAAAGGAAGGAAACTATGTGCAGCTATTAAAATCATACATTCCTATAGAGTGAGGGAAACACTGAGTGAGTGAGAGTGTACAAAGAGAGAGACTCACATTCATTGAGGAGTTGATCTCGGTGACTGCATCATCGTCTGTGGGGAACTGGTAGATCTGCACTCCATTGCTCACCAGCTCACTCATGATCTTGATCTTGAATTTATGGAGCTCGCTCTTGGAGATTGTGTCGGCTTTAGCGATGATGGGGATTATATTCACCTAAAGGATCAAAATAATAATTCTGTCCTTAAAATCAGCTTTTAGGTTTTTCCTCCAAATTGAATATCTTCAGATATTCTGCTATGGTTTGGAAGGGTTTCATGGCGGTTGTATCGTAAAATTATAAATCAATGCATGATTAGAGAAGATGCTGAAAATCAATCAGTCAGAGCATCTGAATGATTGGCACAGTGTCATTAACAAATACTTAAATTACTGAATGTCGCAAAATTGGCACTATGCAACCACGATGGGTTGAGCTCAGTGAAACCCACACAGAAAAATAAAAAAAATAGCAATTAAGAAAACAAACTGAATGGCGTCCTCTCTCTGCTCTAAAACAGATGGGAAAATAAACACATTGTGACAGTTTTGCTTTGGCTCCTCGGATTACTGGGACGATGTAGATTTAGTCACCGACGTCTCGTCACCTCCAGGCTATAGTTTGTTAGGGTCAAAATGAGGTCTTATTCAATGTGACCATTCACAATAATTTTGCAACAAAACAGATGTGATGGTTGTTTTGCATAGTTTTCTTCCATCCTTTACACAAAGTCTATTGACGTAAAAGAGCAGAGACCCATCTCTACAGTGCTTCACGTCCCTAGACCAGACCACTTTTATAACCGTCACCCTTCCGGCTTAAAAGCCTTTATGGAAGTATAAGTCAAACACCATTGCCTGTCTGCTTTACATCATAGACCTTTAAATAAAATATAAGCTGATTTATAGTCTGCTCCGTGTATCCTGTGAGAAAAGGCTCATTTCTGACAGCTCAGAGAGAGATAGAGCCATGCTGGAGGAGAGTATTGGCTAAAGTAAGCTACCATGCTTTGCTCATAACCACACCATCTGTTTGATATGTGTCATTGCATTACCAGACACAAACAAGCCTGTAATTGCCTCTCCACCACTCCTCGAACAGCTTTATAGGCCGTATAACCGGCCTGATATACAAGCTCTGTACGGTTGTAGCTAATAGGAGTTTGAGTACTGTATGCATTGTCAGGTCTGTCTCAGCCTGAGTTTCACACATTTCACCCGCCCCATTTGGGGTCAATAAAACAGACTGCACTAGTAGCTAGTTGTGACATTCTCTCTCCCTCACCCTCATTCACGCTTCAACTGCAATAGTGATGAGATTAGATTAATTCCACAATTCACTAATTGAGGCACTGACCATTCATGTTTCCAATAGGCTGAAATCAATGTATTGTTCTAAAATATGGATCTGCTGCCCAATACTCAGTTACTCACATGAAACCATGAACAAAAAAAGATCTTCATAGAAGTAAGAAGTTACAACGTCATACTTGCTTAATAATTCTAACAAATACACCAGGGCATGATATAAACCTCCGGAAATGCAATAAAATGTTATCTGGAATGTCTGCCGTTTCCTTTTCAAGGACATTGTGGGTTCCCACCCTACATGAATATCTGACTGTTCTACAACTGTGTGAAATCCATACTAGTCAAAGTGAAAGAGATGGGATTTCAGCCTCTATATTTCAAATCAAACAATAGGATGCCGTCTGTTTTTTTGCCCACAAGGCCTTGGTGGTAGTGATCCTTTACCTTACTGTCCAGTTTCTTCATGGTAACTAAATCCAAGGATTTCAGTGAATGCCCCGTGGGCGCGATGAAGTACAGACAGATGTGGATCCTCCCGTCGTGGTAGTTGAAGAGGGAGCGCTTGATTTTCAGCTCTTCCTGAAGGTAGTTTTCGAACTGTGTGTCGATATAGTCCACTATCGGTTTATAACTGCAAAAGGAAAAGCAATGTAGTTTTACTAAGTGTAAAACAAAGTTTCACTTTGGTTCCTTTTGATCCCACTATCTCATGTACTTTCTTTGTTTCTTTCAAAGTTACCAGTGGGGGTATTAGATGTCTGTGTACAGAAATGATCTATATTCAAGTCTCCAGCATCTACTCATGTAAACCTGACCTTCACACCATCAAGTACCACGAATCATAAATATTTAAGAGGTCACAGAGGTGAACATTTAATATGCCAGTGTGTTTAGTCTAGCATTCTACAGGGGAAGTGAGCCAATAAATCACATAAAGTTACTGTTAAACCATGGTTAAAAGTATTAATCACATCCCTGTGTCCATTGTTATACTGTAGCTTGGAGGGCAAATAAGTGGCCTACAGGCTTGCCAAGAACATATATACAATGTTTAACCTTTCCTTTAACATTTACATTTGACATTTTAGTCATTTAGCAGACGCTCTTATCCAGAGCGACTTACAGTTAGTGAGTGCATACATTCTTTTATTATTATCATCATTTTTTCAATTTTTTTCATACTGGCCCCCCGTGGGAATCGAACCCACAACCCTGGCGTTGCGTACGCCATGCTCTACCAACTGAGCTACATCCCTGCCGGCCATTCCCTCCCCTACCCTGGACGACGCTGGGCCAATTGTGCGCCGCTCCATGGGTTGAACATCTCTAAGCTATTTTCCCAGAATGCGTCACTGATGACCTTTAAAATCTATTTGGGATGCATTGTTGCAGCAGCGTTTTCCCAAACATAATGAGTTAGGGCCTGTTCCTCCCACTGTATCATTCAGGGGCGTGTGAGCCCTCTTGCTGCGGAGATCACACAAACACTCAGTCCCACAGCTGTAGTTGAAACCAAGAATGTCCTCATCATTCTAAACCCCTCTCCATTCGGGGGGGGGGGGGGGGGGGGGGGGGGGAATGTTTGACTGTGCTTGTCTTGTCTACATTCCAGGCAACGTAAGCAATTTACTCCAAAAGATGGCATGTTATCATTCACTGTGAGAGTATGAAAAGGACAGAGACTCAATGGCAATGCTTCATCTAGTGATCAGTTGAAAGTAGGATGCTTAGCATCTGCTGCTTACCTCTCCTCTTTGTTGATCTGGTCCCCGAACCCAACAGTGTCCACGATAGTCAGCTTTAGGTGGACGTTGCTCTCCTGGAGGTCGTATGTTCTGGGCCGCATACACACGCCATTCTGGTAGTGGCTGGCCTCCTCGTTCTCAAACATTGTGTTAAAAAGGGTATTCATTAATGTCGACTTGCCAATACCCGTTTCCCCTAGGAGGCAAGACAGGGAAAAGTGTTGTTAGGTCTCAGTAACTCTCAGGGGGGACATTCTGCTCTCAGCCTCTTCACAGCAACAGCAGTCTTGTTCTCGTTCATGTCAAGGACAGAAACAACCCTGGCTGCATACCGAATGGCACCCTATTCCCTATATGGTGCACTACTTTTGTCCAGAGCTCTATAGGCCCTGGTCAAAAGTAGTGCACTATTTAGGGAATAAGGTGATATTTGGGATGCAGCCTCTGAGATAGTACAGTAACACTATCATGTGGTTTGATACTCACCTACACAGAGGATGTTGAAGCAGAAACCCTGCGTCACCGATTTACTGACCAGCTGATCAGGAAGGCTGTCAAAACCAACATGCCCGCCCAAACTGAGGTTACGCTTTTCTTCATTCTGCAAAAATAAAGTTTTAAATCAATTAACAATGATGGCAAAGCTAGAGATATGTGAGGGGTGAAAGCACTGAGAGAAAATGTATTACTGTGAATCGAGGACATAAGCAATACCACCACCACATTCCATTTGTTCCCTGTGCATATGACATTTTCTGATAATGCATTGTACAGACATGTAGCTCATCATAATGTGCCTTAAAAGCTTAAATTACAAGATGAGCACTCTGGAGAGCGCTGAGGACGGAGCTGGAGTAATCCTTCAAACAGAAGGTGGCATCTCTGCACAGAGAAGAGACTAGAGATTCCAAAAATCAAGTGTGATTAATTGAGGTCACACGAAATAAATCTGGCACCTGAAAAGGTTACAAAGTGAGCCTACTCCCACCTCAGTGAACAGCAGCCCATCTCTAATGATTAGTCATTTGTGGAGAAACAATCATGCATTCCCTTATCTTGCTCATCTCAGCTGTGCAGGGAGAGCAGAGAGAACATCTTGAGATCAATGGGCTCATCCCAGTGTGTCTGGCTTAGCCTTTCCCACTAAGGCTGCATATTTGGGGGGTGATGTCACCGGACACAGCCTAAGAGCTGAGCTGAGCTGTGCAGGCAGGCAGGCCTGTGTGCAACTGGAATCGACTGAGGGCCACAAAGGGAATGCAAACACAAAACCTGCTCCAGTGTGTTATCTCAAGGATCATGCAGAACTGCGGGCGTGGACACAAACTCCCCAGAGACGAACTCTGACTGAATGCACACGTTACACAAGCTGAGAGGCATCCATCCTTCGCAATAGTCAAGGAATGGAGTCAGTATAGGAGTGCAAAGTAATAGTATGAGAAGAATCATGAGATGGTGCCTTTCAGAGAGCCTCTGGTTAAAAATCCCTAGGCAAGGAAACCCCACACTTCCCATGCGAATCACTGGATCAAGAGGAAATGGCTGAGCACAGAAATATGTAGGGGTAATTCCACAGTAACAGAATTACGCTGACTCTGATTTTTCAGTAAAAAATGTATGCTCAACAAAAAACATTGATTTCAAAGTTTAACAAACCATACAACTCTATGCACAATGACTACTTTGAACAATTTACAAAGTAAAAAAAAAAAAAAACATTTACTGGAAGAAACGTGCAGATGCAATGTTTGATAACTGAATCACAGTTAAATCTCCCTCTGTTTTATTCTGTTACCAAACTTTGTATCTGCACAGTTCTTCCTGTAAATGTGTTTATGTAAAATGTTCTGTGGAAATTATTAAAAGTAGTCCTTGTGCATAGAGTTCTATGGTTTGTTAAACTTTGAAATCAATGTTGCTGTTTTTTGTATACATTTTAAAGTGAAGAATCAGTCTCAGCGTAATTCCGTTACCATGTAATTGCCGGTAGGCTAGTAAACGATGACAAAAATTGAAAGCTCTTTGTACTTGCTTCATCTGTGACAATACATTACAAAAATTACAAAGAAGTTAAACAACTAAACATAATGCTAACATTAAGCCTTAGGGCAAAACCTGGATGTTGGGACTATTTATTCCCAGACAGACTGACAGAGAGACCTCCAGTAGACCTGAACTATATCATTTTCATCCCCAACTGAATAGTCTGTCTGCTTCAGTGAACTAACACACAACCCATCAGCGACACACTGACACACTACTGCTACTTCTACTGGCACTACACTGAGTCTAATGGAGAAACATTAACACAGGGCTGCACAGGTCTACAGTATGCAGATGGTGGAGATTTGGTCATCGCATGGCACCAAGCATCCAAGGAAAAAGAAAGACTATATTTTCTTTATTAATACACACTCATACACAGAGCCGTCTGTCTGGCAGAAACTCCTCCGTCTCTCCCGTCGCACGCCTCTGTCCAACAGGAAAGACAAAAACAAGAACGTGGAGAGGGGAGACAGCAGAGGCCATTTTACAAGATAGACAGAAGCATACCAATCTGTGGGTGTCCGAAAATACATTTAGTTACAGCCAAATCGAGAGTATTAGAACGCAAGTCACAAAGCACAGTTTCATAGGTTTGTGCATGTGTATGACATCAGATGGGGAGAGATAGGACTCCACATAACATGGATAATTGACTCCCCACACAGCCTAAGCTAATCTGTGTTTTACAACAGTGGATGTGACAGGTCAGCCTCCAGGCTGTCCTGTATTGTATGGTCAATTTAAAACGCATTATGCAATCATAAATCTTTCTCCAGAGAATGTTAGAAACTTCATTATCATGGGGATACAAGACTGTCAAAGAAAAAGTGGATATCCAAGACAATAACGCTACTGCTTTTCAAGCAGCAGATGCATATCTACTTTAGGATTACTAATATGCATCAACAAAAGAGTAATTCTTAAAAATTGTGTCAAAACTCATTAGCATGCCTTCCATACCAAGGCAATGTGCGTGGCTCTAATGTTATGCATTATGTAGGCTTCATGATGCATCTGATGTTCTTAGCATCAAACATGCTACAGCTGCTACGGGCAAGTCATTATATAATCAGGGCTAAAATAGATCTCTGTAGTACGATACGATCAATGCTCCCCTACAACTCGTTTTATTGTTTTGACACATTGATTGTTTCACATAGCTTTGTGCACCCTACTTTGTTCAACCTATCAATGCAATCAACCATACATCCTCCCTATCGCCCTATCAATAACCAGTCATAATTAACAGTGCCCTTCAAACAAATTGTCTTGCTTGCAACGTAGGCTACAACATTGCCTCAATTGTGTGTTTCTTCTAAAACTTGGGTAGTCAATGGGAATGACACAGTGGTTCCTCACACTAATTTCACTGCATTCCCAACTCAAATCTAAGCAATCATTTGGCTTGATCATTCCGTACACACTGCCCTTACTGGGCAATACAATGAAACATATGGGGAGTACTGTATCTGCATGCAATCTGCAATTTGGGGCTTGTTCTCTCTCTTTAGGGTGAATTATCTCCCTTCCCTAAATCAAACGTGACAACTTGAGGAAGGAGTGGCTCCTCTGTTAATCTACTTATCCCAGCAATTTAGTGCTTACTGTCCAATTCAACACCTCAAGGAAGGTGTTTATGGATTGTCTAAAAGTTAAATCAACACTGTGGACCTGTACAAAAAAAAGCTTATCACACCATCTTGTGTGGTGTCTTTGTAGCCTCATGCCTTACACACCATTCATATTATGCATCGTTTTTGATTACATGCAATCATAATCCAGGTTTAGGTTTTGGGTAGCCTGAAGCAGTGTTAATTTCATCAACAATAACTATAATGAAAAATACTTGTCAATTACCTATTTTTCCTGACTAAAACTATGACAATAACGAGACACCCTGGGGGAAAAAAACTACAACTATAACAATTTAGTTTTCATTTTAGTCTACAAAAATGTGACAAGACGAGAATTCCACGTGAGACTAATGGACATTTAATTTGACATGAAGCTCCTTTTCATCTGTTTTGTCCAATCCTAAGCATGCGTACAGAATATTTAATGCAATCCTCTCATTGGCAGAATTGACATGTTTCAGATGCGTGGTCTGATTGGCTGATCTGCCCAGCTCTCTGACACAGCTCCCAGGCGGTCACCTCAGACACTCGTCAATCTTTAGAACTGATGCGAAACCAGGACACTTTACTTGTACCTAACCTAAACTAGAAACAATAATGTTTACCCTCTATTACTTTAATGTAGGCTATTTTTTGCTTTAAAATCACATCAGAAGCTCTATATTTTCCCATGTGCGCTGTTATCCTATCTGAATGTGTAGATGATGGAAGTTGGAGGTAGCCTAAATATTCATTATTTAATATAAAAAAATGCACTGACTTATGTGACTAAAATGGCTGTGACTAAAACGAGACTAAAATTGTCCAGAGTTTTAGTCGACTGATAACTCAAACTAACGAAGGATGAAATTACTTAAATATGGCTAAAACAAAAAGGTATTTTAAGACTAAATCTAAAATAGCTGCCAAAATTAACACTGGCCTGAAGACCAGACGTTGAATTGCATTGAATTCTACATCTGGCATAAATGAGCGTTTGGATTAGGAAAGTTTCCTCTCACGACCTCTAAAAGCCAGAATGTTGAATAAAATATTTTAACTTACTTTACCGGTTGTTCTGCAGGTTGGAATGTGAGACTATATCCACAGAAAATAGACTCTGTACTGGTACCCTGTGTATATAGCCAAGTTACCGTTACTCATTGTTGGGAAGGGTCCGTAAGTAAGCATTTTACTGTTAGTCTACACCAGTTGATACGAAGCATGTGACAATTTTTGATTTTATTTTATTTAATTACATCAACTTTTCAAAACGCTGGTAGTGCGTTCAGATTTCTATCACCTGAAGCATGCGCACAACATGGTTCTGCGCATGTTTCAGGTGATAGAAATATGAACGCAGTACCAGCGCTTTGAAAAGTTAATGTAATTATACTTCCCTGTAGATATATTGTCTCACATTCCTACCTGCAAAAGGACCAACCGTACAGGTAACTGGTAAAGTAAGTTAAAATATAACTTTATTCAACATTCTGGCTTGTAGAGGTTGTGAGAGGAAACGTTGAATACAATGCAAATCAACATTGTATCTTCAGGATATGTTTTGGGTTGCATTCAGACAGAAATAACTACTACTACATCAGTTGAATAGTGCTCTGAAACAATGAACAATGAAGTGCAATGAACAAAAATACAAATAAAATAAAACTAATTTTAAAAAAAAAACATTCCTGAGAATTGAATTAGGCAACTGAACAGAAAGAAGCCCATCTTTTTCTTTCAAAGGGCAATTCAATCTCCATCACAATAATAAATAATTATTATGTAGGCTAGCCTACGCATATTTTTAGACTGCTTAAACAGGAAGTTACAATGTAACCACATTGTTTCTCAAAGGAAGAAAGTCAAACATAAAACCAACCAATGATTAGTAAACTATGTTGCTACATTGTAGCTGATGTGGGGTAGGTTAAACGCTTAT